CCAGAAAATTATATCATGAAGTTTTTCTTTTGCAGTAAGCTATCCTTGCTTTCCAAGGCAGTAAACCAACTACTTACACTAATATTTAGCATTCCACAGGAATATTAGCTAATTTGTTTCATCATTTTGCCAAATATAACCAACCCTCACCTCTAATAATATTAATTTAGTAAGAAGAGCAGTGGTGGCTCACACCTTTAATTCCAGCACTTGGGAGGCAGATGGATCTCTAAAGTCGAGGCCAGCCTGGTCTACAGAATAGAGCTAGCTCCAGGACAGCTAAGGCTGTTACACAGAGAAACCCTGTATGGAAAATCAAAACAAAACAACACAAAAAATTACTGTAATACATAGTATACATTTCTAGCACTGTATTATCTATCATTTTTATTTTTTGAGATACAGGAGATTAAGCAGAGTGGCAAACACTTTACTTTGGATTATTCTTATATGGCCAATACTATTTTTAAGTAACTTTTAAATTTTTGTATTACCCACCTTTAATCCCAGCAGAGGCAGGCAGATTTCTGTTAAATTCCAAGTCAGCCTGGTCTACATAGCAAATTTCAGGCCAGTCAAGGCTACATATAGTAAAATCTAGTACACCGACACCCACCCCCCCTACACACAAAGAGGATTACCTGCCAATACATCCACAAATCTTGGCAATGGCTACATTTAAAGGGAGATGGGTAGCAGGTGCCCTATTTTCTAGCTCCCTCATTTTCCTTGATCACTTTAGTTACCTAACTGACCTTGAGTTCAAAACCTTTATTTAACTGAGAACTTTGTTTTGTCTCTTTAGAGGTCTTAGAAACTTATCTTAGATATAAATCAATGACGGCATTACTTAACGGTTCAAAGTTATGTTCACAAACCTTAAGCTTTGACTATTAAGATACCATTTAAATATGCAAGGCAATACTGGGTTTAAAAGTATTCTAGCTTGATCATTTATTAAGGTAGAATACTATGTATCCCAGAATGGCCTCATTTTAATATGTAGCAGGTGATGACCTTGAACTTCTGACCCTCCTGTCATCAACTTCTCAGTTCTGGGATTACAGAAATGCCCAACAAGGTACTAGGGATCCATCAAAGCAGGGTTCTGTAAAATAGTCAAGCACTCTACCTATTGAGATTAGCCCCCAGGTCTAGTTACCTTCTCTTTTGTCAATCTTCAACCCCTGGAGGACTCAAGATATTTAGCTATAACTCTTCTCAAAAACAGAAAAATTAAGCCTGTATTTCAACAAGGGCACCTGCATTTTCACTACTAAAGGTAAAAGGAAAAACAGGAAGTCAAAAAGGTCTTTCATCTGCCAAAACAGACCTTACAGTTCACAGAGCACATGAAGCCCTCTTCACTCAGAACCTACTGGATCTTATTTTAGACACAATTTTAATAAGCTCTGTGATCTGGTTCCTTAGCCCACAACAGAAAAGACGCAGCCAACTGGAAAAGGGCTGGGGGTGGTGCTAGAAGAGGCAGGCACTCAGAGCATCAAAACCCAAGCTAAAGACAAGACAATACACACTCACTCTCTCTCTCCTCTCCCCCCCCCCCCATCCCTGCCAGTGACCAGGCATGGTGACAGCACATGGGAGGCAGACAGGAGAATCTGTGAGCTTGAGGCCTCCTGGTCTTCAAAGTGAGTTCCAGGACAGGCTCCAGAACTAGAGAAACCCTGTTTGGGGGGGGGGGAGAATCCCTGCCAAAACCATACTGTTCATAATGTGTCTCTGTGGCAAATTTTGCCTAAAGAGTAGCTCAGGAATCTGTAAGATATCCATCAAAAGCTTTTTACAGGATTTTTGAGGTCTATAGGTCAGTAGCAGGGTATTTGCTGAGAATGTACAAGGTCCCTGGTCCAAATTTTCAGCAATGAAAATAAAAAGTGCTGTAAATATGGCAAGAACAGGCTATGCATGCATGAAATTCAAAGAACAAAAAGTCCCAAATTCAGACACACACAAAAAAAAATCTGTATATCAAATAGAATACTGAGTTTCTAAAGATGCTTCCGGTCAAATGTAGTTAAGATTTTTAAGAATACTATTAGAACCAGATACAAAATACTTCATGACATCTGAAGCTAAAAGGGTAGTTAAGTAATAGAGCTTTAGGAAAGGCTCAACACAAAGACTGATTATCCAGACTGAGCAAGTCTTCTAGGGATTCCAGTTCAGATATATTGGATTGGGAATAACACAGGAATGGTTTTATTTGTATCCATTAAGCCTATCATTTAATGTAAATTATGTGCCACACATAAATTCAAAATCATGCCCCCAAACATAGTTTCAGGCCAGTCTGGAATGCATACAACCCTGTATCAGGAAAACAGTTGGTGCCTAGAGAGACAGCTCTTCTGAGAACCCAGGTTGGAATCCCAGCTCCTAACTGGTGGCTCACAACCACCTGTAATACCAGTTCCAGGTGATCCAACAGACATACACAGTGAGCACAGACATGCATGACAGCAAAACATTCATAAAGTAAAATATAAAAATCTTAAAGTTATTAAAACAAACAGTCAGGTGATAGTGGCAAATGCCTTTATGCCCAGCACTAGAGACACAGAAGCGGGCAGATATGAGTTCAAGGCCATCCTCTAAATGAAGAGAAACCCTGTCTGGAAGAAGAAAAGTTCAATCCCCAGGACCCGTGGAAAGGTGAAATAGACTTCACAAAGTTTTCCTCTAATTCGAGTGAGGTCTGTGGCTGAAACACACACACACACACACCCACACACACACCCACACCCTTAAACCCTTTAAAGGTCAAAAGACCACTTCTAAACCTGACTTCCTTTTTAAAGATTTATAAGAACTGGGAATATAGTTCATGGTTCAGTGTTTGCCTCAGCATACATAAGATCCTGGGTTTCAATCCCCAGTACTGTACAAAAAGATTTAGTGGTGGCAGGTGTGGTGGTACATGCCTGAATCCCTGTACTCAGGATCAATAACAGCCTGGATTACATAGTGACAGCCTATCTCAAAAGGAGCAACAGAAACAACATTGCTAGGGACAAACATTATTCTAAGATTTAAATGTATATTTTGAGTCAGTGTCATCTCCCTCTCTGAAGAAGTCTTTATAGCACAGATATTAATACAAACACTAAAAGCTATTAACTTGCTGGTTTAATATCAGCACTATGAAGTCAGACAGAAGGGTCTTGGAGTTTGAGGCCAGCCTGATCTACACCATAGTAAGCTGTAAGCCAACAGAGCTAGGAAAACCCTACCTTTAATAAAATAAAATTAAAACTATCGATGCAAATTATAATGCATCAAACTCACTCCCTACCTTGGAGGACAATCTTTTATAAGTATAACTCAAACAGCATTTCAAAACAATAGCTAACCATTAGACACTATAAGGCCCCATGACTGCTCAAGTCTTAGAAATACACACACTCTGGATGGCAGTGGCATATTCTTTTAATCCTATCAGGAGGCAAGTAGATCTCTGTGAGTTCGAGGCCAGCATAGTCTACAAAGACAGTTCCAGGACAATCAGGGCTGTTACACATAGAAACCCTGTCTCAAAAAAACAAAACAAACAAACAAACAAAAAAAAAACATAACCAAATTACTTGGATGCTTATCATTCACATGGTTTGTTTTTTTTTTAACTAAAGTTCATACTTTTTAGCAAAGACCCTGCTTCAACTTCATGCAAGACTTACTGTTAAAGGTCTATACTTTGAATTCTTAAGAAATCAAAGAAAACAAAGTTGGTAAGGTGCTAATTCGAAGTAAGGAATGGGATTAATTCCACATTCCAAGTCTTCAATAAAGAATGAAATGAGGACCAATTGCTCAACTGTGGTATTCCATCTTTCAATCTGCATTTTGACTTCATTCTCCATTATTTGTATCCCCATCTCATCAGCCCTACTGGGTAATCCCAGGTCCTACCACTAAAGGTAAAGAATTAATATGGCCCACCTGAGAAGCCAAATAAAACATTTAAAAAAAAAAAAAAAAAACCCCACAGTGGGCATCTTACGTCCAAAGAAAAAGTAATAGTGACACTAATCGATTGGGGGGGGAACCCTAAAGTTTAAGCCAAGTCTATGCTCTCCTTATAATATCAGTAATTAAATGGATAACCTTTCACTTAAGAAAACTAAAATTATCTCTACCCAAAATTCGAGTAACATTCCTTCTAAATTAGGAGTCTTCACGAATATATAATCTAATTTTAGCGTTAAAATCATTTTGGGAGAAGTCTGTGAAAGGAATTTCTCGGGCGGTTTTCAACGTTCGGTTTTCTGAACTGACCGGCTTCATTCACCCTACCAGGTAAACAGTTACTCCACTAGATCCAATCCTGTAAAACCCAAGGGTTAATTTCCCACCCCAAGAAGTAAAACGCTTTCCCACTTAATTCCTTCTCCCTCCGAAGCAGCATTTTCTTTTCTCTGACTTTCTACTCCACTTTATATAGACCAGTAAGGTGGACTTTATGCCGCTATCTGCCAAAGACTTAAGTGAACTCAAGAAAACAGTCGTGGGTCGGGCAAATGAGCCCTCCGGTCGGCCTGTCCAGGTCCTCGATCTCGGGCAGCTCAGTGAAGGGCGCAGGAGTAGGGGGACAGAGATTGGACAACAGCCCTATCGACCTCAGATCACAGGGCCGCCCAACGCCCCAGCCGCTACCCCCTCTCACCCCCACCCACCCACCCCCCGCCGGACAATAGCCCCAGCGAGCAGCAAGCCCCGGGCCGGAGCGAGGCCTGGAAAGGCGTCGGGGAGAAGGCCTGCGAGGACCAGAGCAACTTCGGCCTAAGCAGGTCCCCGCGCTCCAGCCTTCGCGGGCGCCATCTCTGGGAGTGGGGTGTGAAGGCCGCCCCGTGGGGCCGGCGCCGGCAGCGGGAACCAGACGCCGCGAGCCCAGTGGAGGCGACCGCGGGAAGTGCAGGCCGCAGCCTACTCAGCGGGCTCGCCCGGCGGCCCATTCCCACAGCAACGCCCTGGCCGCTTACCTTGTGGATTCTCTTCAGAGCCATGGTGGGAAACGGTGGCGACGGCCCCCGGGGCGGGGACGGGGACGGGGGAGGGACGGGGCAGGGGCGAGGGGGCCTGAGACCGCCCGAGCGGTCGCGAGTCGGCCGGAGAAGACCGGGAGCTCCGAAGCGCGGATCCGACGAGCTGAGGGCCGAGGCCCACTCAGCTTCTGGGCCTGCCGCAGCGGTCACCGCATCACCCGGCGGCGGCCCCTTTATGCGCTGCGACCACAGCCTCCGCCGCCGTAGCTGCCTCTTCCTCGTAGGCTCAGCGCCGCCTCCTCGGCCGCCGTGGATCCCTCCGCCTGGGAGGAAGAGCCCCAAGCTGCGGGCTCCGGGCGCCTGACGGCCGCAGAGCCGGGGAAGCCTGCTTTCCTGCCTGGTGCAGGTGGACTAAGAGACGCGCGGGCGGGCGGGCGGCGCCGCCGGGGTGGGGCCGCCGGAGCGCGGGGTGGGCCCAGGCCGAGGGGCAGGTCGGGAGGCCCCGGGATTGGCGGGCCTGGGAGGGAGGGCCGGGCCGGCGGCGGAAGGATACGGGCCGCCCCTGCGAGGACCTACGCGCCGGCGCAGCCACGGCCGCGGAGGGCATGACGTCGCGAGGCACTGAGAGGAGATCTCGCGAGAGTTCAGGCGCGGGTTCTAGATGCTCCTCCGCCAAGGCCGCAAATCAGCATCTGGTACCCTGTAAGCATGGGACTTCGAAGATCAATAAACGCTTAAAGGCACGTGCTTTCCACATCGTTTAGTCACCATCGGACTCGGAAGGAAGTACCTAATCCCACTGCTACTTTCCCGAAAGAGAAAAGGACTTTTCCAAGGTCACACAACTCTTATTTTGTTGGCAGTGTTAGTACCGCAGGGGGCCTTGAGACTGGCCACCCCACCCAAGACATGGCTCGAATTCTTTCCGCAGCCACCGGGCATGTTAGCCTTAGGAAATATGGCATGGAGAATAAGAACATATGGAGAGGATTTTTTTTTTTTTTTTGATAAGGTTACATAGCAACTGGCTGAGTTGATCTCCTCGTACGCAAAGGTGGACCCCAAAGAGAAAAATTGTAGCCACTCACCCAGATTCTGTATGTTAGAATGAGGAGGAATAATATATAGGCCCAGGCCTTTTTGAAATGTGATGAAAAATGCCTCCAGGTTAAATTTCTAATTTTTTTCTCAGTAATAGTACTCTTGTATGTAAAAATCAATGTAGGAGTTGTCGGTAGCTCAGTGGATAATGGTGCTTGCCACCAAGCCTGTCGACCTGAGTCAGATCCCTGAGACTCACGTGGAGGGAGAACCTACTCCAAGTTACCCTGTGACCTCCACACCCAGGCACAGGTATACATATAGGCACATACTTACACAAATGTAACTTCAAAAAAGGAAAGTAACTTGTTTAGCCAATTCTATTTTGGGAGATATTTTTAAAGCTGTTTCCTAGTTCTGAAGAGATTGTTCAGTGATTAAGAGTACACATTACTCTTAACAGAGGGCCAGAGTTCGGGTTCCCAGCACCCACGGCAGAATCCTAATTACCTGTGACCCCAGCTCCAGGAGATCCAACACCTCTGGCTTCTGCACTCATGTATACATATTCTTTCCCCGAGAAAGATGTATACATAAAAATAAAATACTTTCTTAAAACGCTGTTTCCAAAGAAAGGTTTTAAGCTGTTTCTAACTTTTACTATTAAAAATAATGGTGTTTGGGCTGGAGAAATGGCTCAACCATTAAAGGCTAAGACTCACAAACAAGAATAGAGGTATAGGGGTGTGAGACAGAGAGATAGCACATCCCTGCAATCCGACACACAGTGGGAAGAGCTGGGGCATTCTTAGATACATAGAGAGCTTGAAGCCAGAATGAGCTACATGAGACCATGATTAAATGTTACATAGCAATCTCCAGAAAATCCATCTGAAAATCAATCTATGCTTTCTTCCTTCCTCCCTTCCTTTATTGGCTTTTTAAGACAGAGTTTCTCTGTGTTGCTTTGGAGCCTGTCCTGGAACTTGTTTTGTAGACCAGGCTGGCCTCCATGTCACAGAGATCTGCCTGCCTCTGTTGCACAAGTTTTAGGATTAAAGGCCACCACCATCCAGCAAGATCCATGAAATTCTAAGGAGGCAATTCTAAAGGGAAGGACTTTAACAACTGAGAAAGTAGCCAGCTGTGGTTATGCATACCTTTCAACTCCAGTACTCAGGAAGCAGAGGCAGGTGGATCTTTGTGAATTTGAGACTAGCCTAGTCTATAGAACAAGTTCCAGAACAGCCAGGGCTACAAGTGAGGCCCTGTCTCAAAACAAATTAAGGCATAGTTTTGAATATGAAAGAATGAAAGGGTGAGCTATTTTTGGAGTGTGGTTAATCTCAAAGGAGTTTACAATTGGGAAGAAACCAGAATTTTATAATTCATCCTGAGGCATTCACCTACCTTCCAGGATGAGGACAGGTTGATGTAATGATGATTTTGTCTCCGTTAAGATACCTATAGATCTCTAGGATCAGACTCCCTGGAAAGAAACTGGAAGAGTTTGTTCCTATGTTCAAGGAATCCTCCAGCATTGAGAGGTTCTGTTAGCAGCAGCATATTTGCTGATGCCAAGGTCTAGTGTCTTGCCTGGAATGGAGGACTGTAATGAAGGAAATTAAGCCATGTTTTTCACTCGATTCCAGGCTGGATTAAGGTCTGAGAAAAAAAAAATAAGGCAGTGTCAAGTCATCAAGATAGGAATTTTAGATCCTTCTACAAGATTGCATGACTTAGAACAAGCAACAGTGCCCCTATCAGAAATTCACAAAAAGTCTAGCGAGATTTTTGGAGCTGTTTTGGCCAGTGAAGTCCTATAAACACCCTGAAACAGCAAAGGCTACCGAAAGTACTTTGGTTACCCTCCAGAACTTGACAGTAGGGCTGTATTGCTGAAGATACAACATACTTAAGGCATAGAACATGGAGGAATAAAGCTGGTACCAGCCTGGAAGCTTCATCCCTATTGGGTAGCTTTTGTGGTGCTGAAAGAGAAAAATAATCATCAGTGTGAACACTGAGCTACAATAAAGACTGACATGGCAAGACATGCCCCCTTGTGTAACAGTGGTACAATTACCATGGACACAACCACTTTCTGATTAGATATGTCCAACTTGGATGAAATCCATTCCTGGCTCCAGTATTGGGCCAAGATTTATAGCTAGACAAGTCTAGGCCTAGGGAAAAACCTATGCTATTATTTTGCCAAATAGTACCAAAATACACATCTTGTCTTGTGGGCATACTATTACTTAATAATTAATAAAGGTTATTCACATAGATGAAAGCATCTCTCAACCCTCATCAGAGAAGCTTCTGTTTGTAGAAGATGGGAATTAACACAGAGACCCACAACCGGCCAAGATACAGAAAATAAACTTAGGCATGCTCAGCTCTAAATGGAGCATATATGCTGCACCCTGTCTCACCAAGGCTCAGGGATCATTACAGAAGAGGGGGCAGAAAAAGTGTAAGAGTCAGTGCAATGGAAGACCACAAAGCAAACAATGGCTTCTGGACGCAACTGCATGTATAAACTCATAGTGTTCACTACATCATGCACAATACCTGAGCAAACTAAAGACTGATCAAATCCCAGCATAGAAAGAGGGATTGGGGCCTGGTGAAATTGCTCAATGGTTAAGAGCACTGGTTGCTCTTCCAAAGGACCTGGGTTCAATTCCCAGAACCCACATGGCAGCTCACAATTGTCTGTGACTCTAACTCTAAGGTATCTGGCATCCTCACACAGAAATACTCACAGGCAAAACACCAATGCACATAGAATAAAAATGAGTAAATGAAAGGAGGAATCGGGCACAAAATCCCACCCTTAGCTGTGGAACTATAGGCAATTGTTAGCTGAGAGAAGATGGTAGCCACTGGTAAGTCAATCACCCTCTAGTGGAGGATCACATCTCATGTCCAAGAGTATTTGGGCAGCACAATTTTTTTTTTTTTTAATGGGAAACACACACAATTGGGGTGAAAGGGGAACAGAGTGAATCTGGGAAAAGTTTGGAGAGGGGGAATGAATCTGTTCTACAACATTCCTTGGCCTGGTGTGGCGGATCAGTGCCTTTAATCCCAGCACTCAGGAGGCAGAGGCAGGGGAATCTCTGAGTTCAAGACCAGCCTGGTTAAAGAGCAAGTGCCAGACTTGCAACTACACGTAGAACCCTGATTTGAAGAAAAAAAAAATCAAATAACAAAACCAGGCCCACACTGGTACCACTATACCCAGTTTCATGCAGTGCTGGGCATTAAATCCTGAGCTGATGGGGGAGGAGTCTAGAGGGAGGGATGGGAGTAGGAGGGATCAGATGGAGGGAGAGACTAATGGGAGAGACAGCTGCAATCTGGGGGCATCTCTGAAATGATCTAGAAACCTAGGGTAATGCAAACTCCCAGGAATCTATGAGGGTGAGCCTAGCTAAGACTCCTAGCAATAGGAGATAGGAAGCCGGAAGTGGCCATCTCCTGTAGCCAGGCAAGATTTCCAGTGGAGGGACTGGGTGGGGCACAAACCCAGCCACAAGCCCTTCAACCTACAATTTGTGTTGCCTACAAGATGAGCTGGGGTGAGGATGGGGAGGAATTTGTGGGAATGACCCACTCATGACTGGCCCAGCTGGAGACCCATACCCTGAGAGGGAGCTCACCCCTGAGGGCCAAGAACCAGAGGCAGGATACCACAGACAAGCAAGCAAGCAAGCAAGCAAGGGAGAGAGAGAGAGAGAGAGAGAGAGAGAGAGAGAGAGAGAGAGAGAGAGAGAGAGAGAGAGAAATGCCCATTCCAACTGTTACTAGGGAGGCTTCACTCAGCAACTGATGGAAACAGAAGCAGATTCACAGCCAAACATTAATTAGGCAGAGCTCCGGAAATCCTGTGGAAGAGAGGGAGGAGGGATTGTAGGAGCCAGTAGGTCAAGGACACCACAAGAAAACCTACAGAATCAACTGATCTAGGCTCATAGAGGGCTCACAGAGATGGAACCAACAACCATGGAGTCTGCGTGGGACTGACCTGGGCCCTCTGCATAAATGTTACAGTGGTGTGGATTGGTCTTCTTGTGGGACTGCTAGCTGGGAGCAGGAGCTGTCTCTGACTCTGTTGCCTGCTTTTGGGACCCTTTCCTCCTACCTGACTGCTTCATCCAGCCTTAGAAGAGGAGGTGCCTAGTCTCATTGCAGCTTGATATACCATGGCTGGCTGAAATCTATGGGCGCTGGTCCCGCCAGTATCTGAGAGGATTGGGAGGAGAGGGGAAGGGGAAACTTTGGTTGGGGTGTAGAAACAAAAAATAAATAAATAAGCAAAAGCAAACAAAAAGTAAAATGAATAAGCTTAAAACAACAACTCAGGGCTGATACAGTTCCGAGCCCCGTCCACCCCCACCTCATCACT